CAAATAGATGTGGTCGCTATATAGAGGTGGTCTTTCCTGGATGTTTCACTGTATATACTTCAGTTCGGAACTGTTCTTCTATTTTACCTCATTAGCGGTAATAATTTCATAATCTAATATGAAATATGTGGTAATAATCATATTTCTTTTTACTATGATTAAACATTCTTAACTTCGTACTTTTGAACCTGAAAGGCCACGTATAATTAATTGTCCGTGTGAAAAACATGGTGTGCTCAAATCTAAGTACAAACAGACGTTGTTTGGCCTTCTCATTGCAAATGCCAATCTAATAGGGAACTAAATGCGTCAAAATTGAATTGGCACATCTATGAGTATAATAGGGATTCGTGGAAGTAATATACTTTCACCCCAGAATTTGTCATTTAAAATAATACTTTCGATAACGTTGTTCATTAATTTTTTAACGACCAATCGCGTGTCGTTGCTAAGCCGTGGTGGGTTCAAATTACGATGCAAAATACCCGGAGATCCAGCTTTGAGTACTAAATTATGCGGTGGTATGCCTAGTAAGTCCAATGAGTTTAAAAACTCTGTTGGAAAATTTGCAGCTTCAATGGGATCGCAAACTGCATCAACGGATTTATATGTCACCAAGTTACGAGTTACCTGGCAATAACTGTTGTATCTTCAGATTCAATTCGTTGACGTCCACATTTTTTGCTGCTAAAATCGCCCTTTCTGCCTGCCACTCATGATGAATGTATTGTGTGTGTACATCGGGAAATATTAGGTTAATGAGAGAATCTTGTGAATCGATGATTGAGCAGAAATCGTCCGGTAATTTTATGCATCCAGTCTTCATCCTTAGTAACTTTTCCATCAACGATATCTAACAATTGTTTTGAGAATGTTTCGGCAGATGGATCTTGAAACATTTAGACGCGCATATTTACTTTTAGTAGAATTTTTTCAACATTATGCCACAGTGAAGAGCATTGATATCATAAGTGCACGTTGAACGCGGAATGACGGGACGTGTTTGTCTGAAATCACCTGAAATGTGTAACAGAGTGCCGCCAAATGTTTTGTCATAGTTTTTTTGTATCTTTTAATGTCCTGTTCAACGCCTCAAGCGAATGTTTGTGTGCCATAGTGCATTCATCCCAGATGATTACTTTACAGTGTTTCAACACAGTGGCCATAGAATTACTTTTTAATGTTGCACACTGTATCTGGATTATTTTGAATATTTAGCGGCAGCTTAAATACTGAATGAGCTGTTCTGCCTCCATCCAATAAAGTTGCCGCAATGCCATTATTTAATCGTATTTCAGCGAGAATTAGCGAAATAATAAATATTTTGCCAGTTCCACCTGGTGCATCAAAAAAAAAAATCCACCTTGTCCTGCCAAAACTACGAGCATAATGCGGTCATAAATGTTCCTTTGTTCCTCATTCATTAGTGGAACATTGCGAGTAACAATCGCTGTCATTTCTATCATATTGTATTGAAGTTCACGATTCATGTCAGTTTTTAATAAATCAGATGCTTTTGATTTGGCGAAGGCATACCGAAATGACAGAGTTGCAAGTTGGCAATAATAATGCAAAGATCCTCAATAGCAATCAGTGTGTGGGGGGCGGAGTTATCGACCATGCCAACCGTCATCTATCAAAAGGTACCTCGTGATAGAATCAAGTTAGCATGCTTTTATATACTAGTGAATGATGTTAAACTTTCATAGTGGTAGTTACGCCACAGTACTCCCCCACCAGAATTTTATCAGGGATATAATTCGATGAACAAATCTCACTAGTTGATGTAATTGTGAAAGACCGGGAGAGAGAGTCACCGGAGTTTTGAGTGCTGAATGAATGTGAGAGGTGTATTAACTTCACAGTAGTGGTTGCTCCTGTGTTGCCTTTGGCAGTCGAGTGTGTGCTGGCCGACGTTGTGTGTATGTTTGTGACGAGACTGAGCAGCAACAGCGCAGGAGAGTGAATGTTGCTTTCACAAATTAGCAAGTCAACCGTACAATGTGGACTATCCATCGAAGTAGGCGTAACNATATATATATATATAATTTATTTTTGGGCTACAAAATGTTCGAATCCGCTACTTTTGGAGCTCCCATTCGCTACTTTTTAATCTTAAGTTCTGGCAACACTGATGCCAACCGTCATCTATCAAAAGGTACCTCGTAATAGAATCAAGTTAGCATGCTTTTATATACTAGTGAATGATGTTAAACTTTCATAGTGGTAGTTACGCCACAAGTGCTTCATTGTACATAGCATCGCTGAATGCTATCGTTAGATCGTTGCAACGTGTGCGATGTTGATACCGTATATCATCAGTCATCGAATCTTTGTGATTATCCCATAGCGTTTCTATACTGGCCGGGGAACATGTAGTTAATTCTATAGCAAATAGTAGACGAATTTGCTTTGCAGTACAGTTCAATGCCGCTTCAGCAAGCATACATTCCCACTGGTTGTCGTCTTTCAGCAAGCCGAGTGCAAGAACCGTTTTCAAGATGGACTTCATTGGAGCTGATGCACCGGTCAATTTGGTACAGCGTTATTTCGTCGTTGTTATTCACTGGAAGAGCAGTCACATTGGTATTTTCAACTCGAAATACTGCCATATCACTGCCTTTATTCACATACTTGCAAATATATTTGATGCTCTTCTTTTAAGGGCGAGCATAAGTATTA